TTATTTGCGAGGTCCCACAAATGGCACGGTGGGGAGAAGGAAGTGCTGGTGGTGTACTTGGCTGCAAAGAGGCTGGCAATCATCACGTTAAACCACTTTTCTTCATCAGGAACAAATGCTTTGATAGCATGCTCTCAATCTCCGAGCTACCAACACTTACATGTTCGCTGATAAAAAAAAGATATTTGATTACAAAACTTGTCTGACAGCAGCCAAAATCACTGCTTGCTAGATAAATAAGTCCTTCAAGGCCAAAGGAATATTAAGCAAAACAAGGGAGGGAAGATAGTTCTCCACGTTATAGCAATAATAATCCAAGAGGTGGGTAAGCAAGATGGGATTCCTCAGGGGAACGGAGCTAATTTAACTTCCATGGCCTTGTCCAGCACGCAATCTGCGTAACACAACGGAAACAGCTGATAAAACAAACAAAAATGAGCACCAGAAGTAAAACAGCAGAGGCCAGCACCTTAAATACTAAAATAATTCTCATAGATTTTGTTTTAAAGTACTGACTGGTACTGAACTCTGGTCAGACTGTCGCCCTGAACCTGAAGTCCCACAGCGCAGCAGACAGACCCCGTTAGACGGTTCCCGTAAGAAAACCACCCGCTCACAGATCAGGGATCATTCTGAGAACACCCTGAGGCAGCACGAAGCACGGGGAGCCCTGCGGCGGCTGTGCTGTGCAGAACTGCAGGGCAGGACAGCTCCCAGCGCCGTGCAGCCTCTGCGAGCACCATCTCACAGCCTCGGGCCCTGTAGCGACCGGAGCACTGGTGTGCCTCATCCTGCAGCCCCTTTAGAAACAAGGAGCGGGTGTGGAACAGCTCCTGGGGTGCAGTGGAGGCAAGCAGATGTTGTGGAAGTTATGGCTCCGTCCTACCCTAAGAGGTAACGCGCTGTTTTCCTGGGATTAATCAGGATGTCTTGTGCCAGTATTGCTGGAACGCGACAAAACGGCGATGGCATGACTCGTTCACTTATAATTATCGAGGAATTGGGTTAGTGTAAGGACTTCAAAAGGTGACTTGCTGATTTGGGGGGTTTTGAGAAGTATCAGTAAGTTCAGGTTGGAGATGAGGAAGCATTTCTGCTCAGGAAGAGCAGTCAGGCATTGGGACGGGTTGCTCAGGGAGGTGGTGGACCAGATCTTGGAGGGTTTTTCCAACCCCAATGATTCTGTGATTCTATATTCGATGATTCTAAATAAGGTTTCAACAGTTCCTCCAACGAGGCAATCAATGGCAGGGGAAGAAAAGTACAATGAAGGTACCAATGGCAAGACAACAGCTGTAGGAATTCTCTGTTTTTACTTTATATTCACTCTTTCTTGTAGTGGAAGCCGTTACAAAGTCTGCTTATAGAAAGCAACGGACGGAACACTACAAACTAGCAACCTGAATACTAAAACCAAATTTCAGAGAATTATTTTAAAGCACCCATTAGCATTGAAGGCTAAAATTAGAGTGTTTTCTTCTAATTTATCTGCTGATTTGGTAGCCACCAGAACAGCAAGAATGGCATCACAGGGTACTCTCACAGCCAGAGGAAAGAAACCCAGAGCACGAGCTAAACTCCTCTGATGGTTTTTATTGGAAATTGCTGTGGAAAAGTGCTACTGAGAAACCAAGACGCACAACCCCCCTCATAAATACACCAGCTGAATCACGCGGGTCCTGCTGCCTTGTTCTTTTATGCTCCCAGCAGTTAGAGGAGGCTCGGAAGTGAGAGCTGCTTGCCAGCCAGCATCACAACGCCAGCTCGAATGGACTCGATTCAGCTCTGAGCGCTCCAACCGTATGACTGGAACATTAAATACCGCCTAGGAAAAACTAAAAATCTGCTTCCTTCCCGCTAAACACAGACTTAAGGGGCAGCCTAGGCTAATAGAAGTCAAAATGTACTTACACAAAGCCAGAGATTTCCATTCTTCCTCCCGAGCACCCCTGCAAACTCCAAAGTGGTGGTGTGGGCACCTGTGTTTGCCACCCAGAGACAAACGTGCTGCCTCACCCAGCCCTCCTGTTTCCCATGGGGCATTCAAACATCACCCTAGCCCACCCCAGGCACAAAAAAACAACCTACATGCTAATTACGCAGGCAAAGGGAGCGCTACCCACATCCCCAACGCCCCCACGGTAAGTTTACGAGTGGTTTTGGCACTGAGCTCATACCCCAGCTGCAGCCACGGCGTTTCACACAGCTCATGCCCCCTGTGCAGATGAGCAGAGCAGGAACATTTCCTTCTCCACTGATTCCTTTGCCTAGAGAAAGCTCTTTTATGAAGATAAGAACAATTACAGCACCTCTTCTGCCTGGCCTGTGGGTCTGTACAGCCTGCCGCTCCGCTTCCAACGAGGGCCATAAAGAGGCTATTAGGGAAAGTGAACGTGATATTTTGACAGTTCTCTGAAATCAGTCGTTTAACACGCAACAAAAGCCAGAAAAAAACACAACACAATGTTGGCCATCACCAGCACGTTATTTGCAGCAATGGGCATGCCATTATTCCTGGGTAAATCCCTTGTGTGCCCACATCTGGAGCAACGTGCCATTCCCATCCCTGCGTCTCAGCAAGGACCAAGCTGGAAAAGGGCAACCAAAACGAGCCTGGAACGAAGAAACTGAGCTGCAAGAAGAAAGCCCCGACAGCTGCAAGACTTCAAGCTGGAGAGGAAAAGCGCCCCGGGGGTAAAACTGAGGTTTCCAAAATCACACGTGCAGCAGGGGGGGGTTAACTGCGGAATACTGCAGGATACTGGAACAAAAGGGTACCGAATGAAACGAGCAGGAAACTGGTTTACAACCAGTTAGAGAATAAGCACTTCTTGGTTTTCACTGAAGGGGGAAGTCAGCATGACACGTGTTTTTCTACCTAGCCACAGATTTTGGCATTCCATTCCAAATCCTGGTGCAGCCTCCCCAAGCTTTTGCATCCACAATGTTCTTTCACAGCTCTTCTGCAGCCACCTGAAGGCTCTTTGCTCTGACTTAGCTTCCAGCAGCTTCGTCGGATGGAGCCTGGCCCCTGTGCTGGAGGAGACAGCGCTCCATCAACCCCCCCAAAGCTCTGCATGACCCTAAGGATGGTGGCAGCTGTTTTCTGCTTTAAAATCAGGCTAAAGCAGCAGTCCAACATTGCTCATACGAGCCACGTTCCCTAAGCCACCATTCTCCTCTTCTCTGGACCTCTTTCAGTCCAAACGCAGTCGTTGGGGTAGCCCAGGACTTTTCCCAGTGCTCCAGCTGTTTGGGAACCTCAGGACTGCAGAACACCACAGCAAGAGCTGGCCTTGATTCTTTTCCTAATTATTCCTAGCATCTGATTTGCCTCTTCACTTTCATACTGCTTTGTCAAGCTTCCAGGTGAGATTTCAATACAACAAACCATCACAAGGCCAAGAAAATAAGCTGACCACCACCGATGTGATGAGCATTATTCCCCCCTAACATATATTTATTATTTTGACTGTCCTCCACAATTTTATGGCTTACTGCAGCTCACAGATATAACCAAAATCTCTGTAATACTTCATTCTGGTTTGGCTTTAGCTTTCAGTTATTCACAGCAGTATCAAGAGGCTCTCATCACACTGCTAACCACCTGCTCCTCACCAACAGAAATCCACCTTCACCACACCTCTGCGAGCAAATCCCAGATCTCTTCAATCCACTGAGTTTCACCAATTCCTTCAATATCTTAAGTTCCACTTCTCAAGAGGCAATAAATACTTATTCACACAATCCGTTGTTCACACTTTTATCATATTAAACTTGCTTTGGCTCCGTTTTCCTCCTTACAGGCAGGATTTTCAAAAGGTCCTCGCTCAGAATTTCCCAGCATCATTTCTAAAACCATCTTGGCTCCTGTTGCCACGTACCTGGCCCAACTGGAATCCCTAGCCACAGCCAGATGAGTGGATAAAAAAAAAAAAACAAAGAAAAACAAACAACAAACACCAGGCCATAGTTCTTTCAAACAAAGCAAATGGAAGGGTAAGAATCTCTATTTTCTTCCTGCAGCAAAAAGCTTGTCAAGCCTGGTTCACAGCCCTTCCGTGGAAAGATTAAATAACACAAAGCCTTGGCTTTATATAACAGCAGCAATTAAATTAAGTTTTGGTATTGTCAAGAAAAGCATTCAAAGATGAAAACACGACTACTGTTTCTTCTCTCTCTGTTCAGCACAGAGTATCTACCAGCAAGGGTTCCTCAGCACTTCAAAAAAATACAAACAAATTTGTTTTGCACAAATCTCTCACAGAAATACTGGAATAGGCTGGAAGTGAGACGTGCCCAATATTCTGTATTTCTCCCCCAATTTTAGGCACACCACAGAACACCCAACAAGGAAACCCCTTTGGCAGGGTGGGCAACAGGATGGAGAACAGACTGCAGTGAGATGAGGTCTTGTATAAACCAGGCTGTAGAGGAAGAGACCAAGTATGGATCTGAAACCCCATCAGGAGAGTTCTCCAAATAAAGGTTAGACAAGCACCAGCAGAAATGATTTTTAGATTAGCAATTCCTATTATTTTCGTGGTACCTCCTATTGTCCTCCAAATTTTAGAGGAGTACAAAAAAGCCAGACGCTCCAAAACCACCAAAGAACACAGCCTTCAGAACTGGAAGCCTTCTCTTCATTGTTCAGTATGCTTTTCCTGGCATTTAGTTCGGTGCCAGACCATTCCAAATATACATTCTTGATCTGTCTAAATATTTCAAGTAACAGATTTAAATACAAACAGATCTAGAGTATTTCATTCAGTTATACCCAAAAAGGCTCATTTTGTAGTCATAGAATATTTTAGTATGCATTACAATACATCTTTTCCAAGTGGTGTTTGCTTTTTTTTTTTTTAAAATATATATATACTTAAATATACTGTTTTTTTCATTTTTATTTCTAATATAAACATCTTCTTGGCTTCTGTTAAAAATTATTCAACAATTACAGGCCCAAACCGTATAAAGTGATGAAAAAATAATAGTCCTACCTCCATCGCCAACGCCGCTGTTTGCTGGTCATAATGATTCAGGAGATTAGGCATGAAGGTGGTGTTGTAAGGCAGGTCCTGGCACATCCGCAGGATGATGGGCTCGCAGGAAAATAAACTGTGCCCTCTCGAGTGCCCCACCAAAACATCCAAAAGCCAAAGGTAACAGAGCATCCAGCTACCGGCCATCCTTCCTCGCCGTGAATGGGGCCAGTTACTGAGCCCAGGCAGAAAGCTTTTTTGACAATTTTTGTGCCTTCTGATTTCACTCCAGCAGCAGTATTTGCAGTCCGTGTTTAAGGCTCTTCAAAACTGGGACTCTCTTTGTGCACAACATCGTTAGCTCAGCCCCAAAGACGATGCAGTTGAGTGAGGCATCTTGCCTTGCCTTTCCGCAGCCTCATACACCACGTGTTACGTCAAGGAATTGAGACGTTTAACCACATTCCCACACGATTGACCCCATCCTGACAGAACGGCAGCCAGGTTACATTCTTCTCTCGTCAGGTCCCCTAAGACAAAAAGAAAACGCAACAAACAGCACACGTTAGAAGTCCCGTCATTGATTAAAATATTTCAGTTGTAAACAGCCTGTCGGGCAAATCGCTTTAAATTCTCACTCAGAAGGTCCCTTGGCAATTTTTAATCCTGGTTTTAGATGTTTTCTGGTGGGGAAAAAAAAGCAGCATGCTGTAAAACTCAACCTGAAAAGAGGGGAAAAAAGGGAAAAAGAGGAAAATATTTTTTTTTTTTTTAGGAAAACCCCACGCTTTGCATCGCGCCGTGTGAGCAGCGCAGTCGTCGGCCACGCTGAAACCGAGCTGCTTCTGACTCAGCCCCTCCGCTGGTGCATTCCCAGCGATAGCATCTTTGGGTGCAGGGCCACAGAACTTCTGCTGAATAATTACCAAACACAAACAAAACAGTCGCCACCACCAACCCGCAAGTCCCGGCTTGCAGGGAGCTGCTCTGCCCGAGCAGCTGCGCTCGTGGCTCGGCTAGCTGTGGCCAAACAGAGTTTTAGTCCTGCTGGAAGCAACTCGTTGTGGGTTGTCCCTCACCCATTTCACTTGCACACGCGTCTCACACCTTGCAGTGCTGAAACCATCCCAGCAGCTCCGGGTAAGACAGGAGAGAGCCTGCCCTGAGCTTTCTACAAACACCGAAAGATGGAAAATACGCGGGTGCTGCCTCTCATTGTCCTGCTGGCTCCACTTTGCCTACAGAGCGGATCTAAACGGCGCCCACTGCCCAGGCTGGCTCCATATTTTCTTGGTGTTAAGGGGCTGGAGAAGAACAGGACCTCAGCACATCACACCCAGCTGCAGGAGAGAGACTCTACAACTTGGAGGCTAAAGGTAACAGAAAATGAGAAATACTGCTTGAACCAGACAACCCCAAGCAGTATTCCCCAGAGGAGGTGATCACAAATTTGAACAGACTTCCATTAACCTGGAGAGATTAATGGGTTTTCTTCAACAATCAGGAAGGGAACTGAATTCTACGAGCCAAAGAGGGAAGAAGTTTTTCCCTTTCTCCTTAACTACTTCACATCTGTAAGTTTGAACTAACTGGCAGTCTTCTGCTGGTTATCAGCTGACCACAGGAGTTTTATAGGCGTATTTTTGTGTACACAAGCCCATCTTATGGCCAGAAAAATTAAACGCTGTACACCTCTAAACCCTCATACACCTTGCGGGTTGGACTAGATAATCCTGAGAGGTTCCTTCCAAGCTAAACAACTCCGTGCTTCTCTTTAAGATCACGTGAAGCAATGGTTTTGGCTGTAGCTGTCCAAGACGGGCTGGTAAAAACAAACAGGCAAGCAGGAAAAAAAGAGCAAAACGTTGAGCACAACCACATGAAATTAGCAATTTCTCAGGCTTATTTTTCAAGAACCTGGAACCTCCAAAAGAGAAAAAACTGAAAACCCAACAAAACCCGCATGAGCTGCTCCACCTCCCAGGCAGCATTGCCTAATCCTGAAGGTTTCTGCCTATTCTCACCCGATGAGAAAATTATAAATTACAGTCAGACAAACCCAAATCCTGCTTAGTTTTGTAGAAGCTGCCTCACCCCCGTGAATCTAGCCCTTTGGTTTTAACAGCGGTTCCTCGAGTCAGGAAAAGAAACCTTCTTGGTTTGTTCTCATCCCCAAATCCCTGCTTCTAATTTATTTATTATTTCTTAAAGACTTCAGCCACCAACTCAGGAAGACTCCATCGAACTACTTCAGTGCAGTGAGCTTGCAGCACGGATTAGCAATCCCCTTTTTAGCGTGGTTCCTATAATTCAGACGCTGTTCCAGCAGCAACCAGGAGCTAACGCTTCCTAAGAGAGGTCCAGAAGCAACATAAAATGAACTCCCACCAAGTCTCGTGCCCAAGTGTGAAGCACAGACATTGGGAAATCCAAGTCAGGATCTAAAGCCTTGGGAAAAACTCCAAGAACACTTCACACAAATCATCATATTAACAACATTCCGACTCCAAACAAAGCCACCCATCCTTTTCCCATCCCCATAACCTCAAAGTGAAAAAAAACAAGAAAACAACAACAAAAAAAACATGCATACATTCAGACTTACTAAGGCATGAAGAGTCTTAACTGCAGAAAAAATGATAAAAAAATTCATCGTGTCCATTCAGGACTTTTCCATTTTATGCCCGGGATCCCATTACCATACAGCACCATAAAGAAAATGAAGAAAAAGTTTAGCAGAGCTACAAAGAACACCAAATTATGTAACCCAGTCATCCAGCGCCCTTCCATGGGAAAAAAGAAACAAATCTAGGTGAAATTCAGGAAAAAAAACGACCGCATCATTGCGAAAGGAGACGGCAGTTTCGCAAAGCAGCATATAGATGACCAATTAATTGGTGCAGACAGACGAGTGCTGTAATAAGCAACCTTCAGTGTCAAGATAGCTCCTTACCACAGATCCAGCTCGGTGTGCTCTTTGTTAAGCCTCTGCCTGTGAAATGTTGTGGTTATTTTTCTATGCACATCAAAACAAAACGCACCACTTTTGGTGACACCGGGGATAAGGGAGGAGGAGGAGGGGATGCCTTCCCGTCTACCCCAAGGCACCCCAAAAAATCTGCGGGCAAAAGGGGTAGGAAGCAGCCAGTTTGTTGGTGTGGTTACGCGTTTATACATTATTTATAACCAGGCAGGCCCATCCGATGCCCGCTGCAAAGGCTAAATGAAGACATGCAGAGATTATTAGAAAGGATGGCAAATCATGAAAGGAAAAGGTTGAATCCTACGAGTATTTTTTTAATTTTTAAAGACATTTCTAAGTTACTACTACAGCAGGAAGGGAGCAATGAGGGGGAAAAAAAAAACAAACAACAACACATTTGTTAGCAAGAGGCTGTGGCTGAATATATTCAGGGTTACCTCTCCCGTCCCGGAGGTGATATGACAAACCAGACTCCCCCTGCATGAGCAGGAGGACGAGGGGAGAATGTCACCTTCGTCGTTCCCCACCCAGCTCCGAGCAGGGAGAAAGAAAAGGAACTCATCGCACACGAGCCCCAGCAGCGCTTCCCCAACCCCTTCCCACCCACACCAAGGCACAAAAGGAGGCTACATTCTTCTCCTCGCTCCATTTTCACGAGTCGGTGGGAAAGAAACTCCAGCGCTGGACTCCCCTGGTGGTGAGGGAGACCCCCAGCATAACCCCCAAAAATCCTCTGCTCCGGGGAGAAAGGAGGGCACACGGCAGCCGCCCCGCAATGCTCACGCTGCTCCGAGGCAGAAGGAGGGAAAAAAATGGACAGCAGCATCTCCGCTCGCCCTCCTTCAGGCTGGGGAATCTCCTTCGGAGATACCCAAAACCTGCCTGGTGCCATTCTGTGAGATCCTGTTGGAGTGTCCGTGTGTCCGGAGGGACAGCTCTAGCATCTCTCTCTGTCCGAGCCCGTGGTGAGCTCGGGGAGGTGGAGGGGATCTCCCCTTGGCATGGGTGGGGAGCAGGGGGGTGCCTGAGCACCCCCCTATTTGCCCCTCAGTGTGCTCACACAGGGCTCAGCATCCTCCAGGGGAAGGGAAGGGAAGGGAAGGGAAGGGAAGGGAAGGGAAGGGAAGGGAAGGGAAGGGAAGGACACACACAGCTCCTGGCCTCCCAGCTTCATCCTACAGCAAAGGGACAGGGCTGGCATCCCCCAATCCCCCCAAGAATCCCCCCAAGACCCCTCAGGACCCCTTCAGATCCCCCCCAAATCCTCCCCAGACCCCTCAGGACCCCTTCAGATTCCCCCAAATTCCCCCCAGACCCCTCAGGACCCTCCCCAGTCCCCTCAGGACCCTCCTCAGGCCCCTCAGGACCCCCCCAATGACGGGCACAGGGGGATGCAGCCAACTGGGAGGGGGAAAAAAGGGGGAATGGGGAAGGAAAGGGGCACCACCAGCATCCCCAACCCCCTTCCTTCATCTTCATCTTCATCCTCCTCCTCAGGGCGCTGCCAGGCATCGCCCCCCCCCCACAGCCCCCCTCAGCAGGGGGAAAACAGGGAGGGGGCAGCGGGGAGGGGACATTTATGAGGAGAAAGGAGGGGATATGAGGGGAGACTGAAGGAATATGAGGGGATTTGAAGGAATATGAGGGGATTTGTGGGAGCATGAGGGGATCTGAAGGGAGACTGAAGGGATCTGAGGGGACATGAGGGACCCTCCCCTTATAAAACGCCCCCCCTCCCACCCGGTCACCACGAGCCGGTGCCCCTGCCCCCGTCTGAGCCCTAAAGGGCCAGAAGGGACACCCCTGAGGACCCCCGACCCGTGTTTTTCCCCCCCGGTGCCGCCGTTACCTCAGCGCGGCTCCCGCCGCCGCCGCCCCGCTCCTTCCCCCCTCAGGTGGCGGCGCGAGGCAGCGGCCGCGCCCCCTCCCCCCCCCTCCCCTCCCGCCCCCGCCGCAGCGCCGGCCCCGCCCCCTCCCCGGGCCCCGCCCCGCCTCCCTTCTCCCCGCCGGGGCGAGGGAGCCAATCAGAGCTCGCCGCGCCGGTTGCTAGGCAGAATAACGCCGAGCGCTCTGCCTCCCCTCCGCCGCTTCTGATTGGAGGAGAGCGGTTGCCGTGGAGACGGGATGCGGCCGTGAGGCGGGGGGGGGGGTGGGAAGGTGAGGGGCGGCGCGGCCCGGCCCTGAGGGATTGGGGGGGGTCCGTGAGGAAAACGGGGGGGGTCTGGGGACAACGGGGAGCTGAGGGGGCGAGTGAGGGGACCTCAGAACCAGGTGGACACCGAGGGGGCATTGGGGGGCGGTGGGAAGCTGGGGGGGGGGGAGAATTGAGGGGAGGGGGCGCCCTACAAGGAGTGGGGGGAGGAAAAATTGAGACCCCCTGGGGTGGGGGGCGTGAGGGGCTGTGAGGGGTTGACAGGGCCAGGGAGGGGGTATGGGGTTTGGGATGGGTCCCTGGGGTGGTGGGGGGGTGAGGGTGGTTGGGGGGTGCTCAGTGTCCCAAGGGAGGGGGCGTTAAGGGGCTGTAGGAGCCCAGTAAGGGGGGCAGCAGCACTGGTTTGGACTGGTGGGTGGCTGGGGTGCGCTGCTGGCCTGCAAAAGGGTGAGGGGAGCCGTCAGGGTCCAGGATTGGGGGGGGTTTGAGGGGCTCTGAGGTGAGAGCATTGTGGATTGTCCAAAAATAACCATAAAAAATGGTTGAGATTGAGGGTAGAAAGGGAAACGTTTCATTTTATTGAATTTCCTTCTCTGGAGATGCCCAAACCCACCGTGATGCCATCCTGAGCGATGTGCTGGGGGTGCCCCGCTGATCTCCAGAGCTCCCTGCCAACCCCCACAGGCTGATTCTGTGGAACGGGACCTGCTCTTGTGTGATTTAGGATCAAAAAGGTATTGGGAATCAATACTGATCAATTCCCTGCGTGTAATGTCTTAGGGACAGTGTGGTGCTGTGACAGCCCCAGGGTGGACGTCGGCCCTGCAGGACACGAGGAGGCTGCTGTGGAACCAGAGCTTGGAGCAGATCCCGGAGAACATCCGTAACGTGGACACAGAGGAGAGCAGGCAGGTATCGGAGGGGAGATCGCTGGGTTTAGTGGTGCTCTGGACACCAGAGATGGTCCTTTTGGAGCTGAGTGGGGAAAAGGAAGGAGGTTTGGAAATTAAAGCACCACAGCATGGGGTTAGGGGGCAGTGGCATGGAGGAGCACAAGGGATTTGGGGTCGTTGGGCCAGTGGAGATGCTTCTAGGATGGGATGTGGAGTACTGATACCTCCGTGGGCATCAAGGACCATGGAGAAATGCAAATTTAGCTACTCAGTGTCTGTGGTAAGGGGGATTGTAGGGTTACTCGAGCCTTGGGTTCTTGATATGTCCAGCACGCTGTGGCAGGTGTAAGGGTGTTAGTCTCAGGCAGCGCAGGCTGCACAGAGGTGGTGATGTTGGGGAGACCCAGAAACATCAATGGCACAAGCTTTTGGGGGTTATCGATGCTATGGCAATGCCATTTATTGATCCTATAGCATTGGCACCACGGTGAGCGTGGAAGCTAGCAGGGCAAGCATCTGTGCCAGGGTCACAGGGCTTTCTGTGGCCCTGGGGATAACCAAGAGAGGCCTGATGCTGCAGTGGGGAGAGCTGGCAATACCACACAGTCAGAGCAGAAATGGTAACTGAGGGCATCACCATGCCAAGAGCAGGTAAGAGACATGGAAAGTCAGGTTAATATCAAGGTTTTGCAGCCTGTGGGCTACGGGCTAGCCCAGGGGAAAGGAGGATCACAGTGTTGGCCTCAATTTTGTATCATTGCATGTGTGTGCTTGGCCTGCTGCCCTTCTCCTCTTGCCATCTTTCTCCATGTTCCCCCTAATATGAGTATCTGTTTCACATCATCTTTTCCCTCCAGACCTATCCTCTTGGATTTTTCTGTGCTGAATGCCCCTTGGTTTGGCCTGTATTCCAGCCCACTTTTCTGTTACTACTCTTTAAAGCATTTCTTCCATGGCATTAATCAGCGAGCTGTTTATTGGCGATAAACTAATTTATAATAAAAATGACCGTCTTGTCTGAGCTTTCGATTCGTTCAGTCAAATTCTGTTTATTCAACGCTGAATTCGACTGCACCATTGTCGTCACATTGAGTGATGTGATCAGACTTTTTCCCTGCAAAATGCGTTCTCAAACCTCTGAGCGCACCGGGCTGTGCTGAACCACAAAGGCTTACTGCTACAGAGATGTGGTCAAAAACATTAATAAAGTGGGTCTGCTTCTGAAGGGCTTGTTTTGAGTATGGTTTGTACAAACCTCTGGAATGCCATTCCAGAGGGTTAAGCGGAGATTAACCCAGCTAAAGGGAATGATTCCTGGGCCCTTAGTTAATATGATATGATCATTATGTATTGCTAATCTTTCTGAAATGTGATCACATTTTTTCAAGCCAAGGGCTTGACCCAATGTGCACTGAAATCAGTGAAAGTATTTCCATTGGCTTCAGCTGGTTTTCCATCAGCCTTGAAATTGTCTTGCTATTTTAGACAATGCCACTCACGTTCCCTGTCCTGTGAAATTAATGTTTGCTGCCTTCAGATGTCACAAAAACCTCTTGGATGCCCACTCAACATGTCCTTCCGTTCTAACTTTCATTTGAGCCATTCCTAGGTGCTCTCTGGCTGTACTAACCCATGCAGAAGTACCACCAAAGCCCAGTTTTCTTTGCCTGCTTGTGAGAATAGCAAATTAATCTATGTCAGAGGATTGAAACTAAGATATATCATTAATTTCTGTGTTCACAGAGCCTGTTATCCTGTTGTAGAAGGAAATCAGATTGATTTGCACTACTTCTTCTTGACAAATAAAGGTTGGTTCTTAGTCCTCTCCTTATTATCCTCTAGTTAAATTATTGCTTTGGGAGTTCTCTTAGGAGCTGGGGATAAGCTGTCTGATGCACAGATTTCCTGCTAGTAGTCTTTCCCTTTTTTAACACTTGTGCTCTGCCAGGCTCAGATGCTCTCTGTAAATCGTGTAAGACAACGGCTTTGAGACAGCAAGAGATCTCTGAGCATCCCAATGCGAAGTTAGTCCAATGCAACCAACCTGAAAACATTGCATATATTCACAAAACTTGGTCTTTCGCCAGAATTTCCCCCAAATCTCATTTGCGTTGCTACTTTTTATGCCTGCCACCCACTCCTAGTTTGCCTTTCTGGTTTTGCTGTTAGAAGGATCTTAAATATTTTTTAGCAACATGTGTCAATAGCTTCCTCTCTGTGGGTAATGAACATTTTCCTTATATATATTTAAAGCTCGACTTCTTGTTAACATCATCTCATGTCTCTTGCTGGTTGAATGTTTCCAAATCAGCTGAGCTTGATTAATTTCATCCCAGGATACGTGAAGAACAAGCTGGAGCAATCTCTGGAATGTTATTTTGGGCAACCAGTCCAAAGATAACGACTATTACAGAAGAAACATGGGGCCCTAGCTAAACAGCCTGACGATCGCAGGTCTGCACACCACACCAGCTGCTTTTTAGTGCCTAACGAACAAGCTGCTGCAGCCACCTCAGTATCATGTCACAGATTAACTCTGATCAGAGTTACTCTAGACTCTTGAAGGAGCAGGATTAGCTGTTAATCCTGCCAGGGATGGGGAGGAGCTGGGGGGGGGGAAGACAAGAAGTGTAAGGTTTTCCTTTGGAGAACAGATAGCTAAACTGTAGTCAGTGAACCAAAGCTCTTCCTAGAAGTTCAGTAAAGAGCTTACAGTCCAATATTTGGGCTAGCTGCATGTTACAGGTGAAATTCTTCTAGATTTTCTAATGCTTCTAGATTTTCTGCTGACTACTCTGATGCATCCCATGAAATTCAAAGCCTGGTAAGTGGACCGAGTCCTAGCACATACAGCGTGGCTTTGAGGAACTCGAGGAAAACATCTGCTCTAAAGTGACACTGTGCAGCCCTGACTTCACCAAAGAATTCATTCTGTAGACACATGCCACTGAGCCTGGGTGTGGGGTTGCTGCCAGACTGATTGCTCCCTGCCTGCATCCCCTCACTACAATTTCGAGCATAGCTGCAGAGACGAGGAGCAAAGTGGGTGGTTTTTTGGGTGCTTCTGCTAGGAAAGGGGTAGTGAGTGAGCGATAGCAGGCTGGCACTTAGTGTGCAAAGCTAAAAAGTTTGGCTACGCTCACCTTTTTGCCTGATGGTACCTGCCTTTGCCGCCCTGTTTACATATCAGGCTTGAATGTTGACTGCAATTCAAGCAAACAGCTTTATAGCAGGAATATGACTTCTGCCAGCTGTGTTGTGAGCCACAATTTTGGTACATAAGGAGCACAAGAGGGTCTGGAGGTACTGCTGTTTCACACGCCAGCTCAGAGAGGTGCTTTGTGAGCGCAGCTGTTCCAGCACCAAGAAAGCCCTGAATGCACAGGGGAGGCAAACTGGAACATGAATCCAGGGCTGGGAGTGTGCTGCAGTGACAACTGATGTTTTTGTGACTAATGTAGAAGGTTGTCCCTGAAAAACAGGACATGGTTGCCTGAACCTGTTTTTTTGGCAGTGGAGCTGTTTCTCTAGCTCGTGATGTCGGATTTCTGTGCATTGAAAAGGGCAGGGGCCTTGAAGGAAAAACAAAAAAACAAACAAAAAAAATCCAACAAGAACAACCCAGTAAGCGATCCCATCGAAATGCATACCCATAATGCACATACCAAATTGCACAAGAAGCCTCTAACATTTGCCAACTACAGAATGTGAAGATTTGGAGCCTTGGTAAGCTTTTTAGCTTTTAGTGGCTTCTTTTTAGCTTTAGTGGGAAGTTAAAATTCCTTTCTGCATAGAAAAAAAAAAAAGAAACAAAGAACTGAGAGTCTTGTAATAAACTTATTTTCAAACTATGGTCTGTATTACATCACCAGATGCAG